TTCAATGAATGTAGAAGTTTAACTGGGGTGGGAGAATGGGAGAATTAAACCCTTATTGAAGATCTTCAATGAATATAGAACTTTAACGGGGGTGGGAGAATTAAACCCTTATTGAAGATCTCCAATGAATATAGAACTTTAACGGGGGTGGGAGAATTAAACCTTTATTGAAGATCTTCAATGAATGTAGCAGTTTAACGGGGGTGGGAGAATTAAACCCTTATTGAAGATCTTCAATGAATGTAGAAGTTTAACGGGGGTGGGAGAATGGGAGAATTAAACCCTTATTGAAGATCTTCAATGAATGTAGAAATTATAAGGGGGTGGGAGAATTAAACCTTTATTGAAGATGTTCAATGAATGTAGAAGTTTAACGGGGGTGGGTGGTATCCTCCGAAAATAATGGATTCAAAGGGCTTTGTAATGTTACCCTTTGTGTTTCTTCCAGCTTCCGGGGTTTGGTCCAATCCAGCGGGTTCACGGCATGACACCACATGAAGCACATCGCAGCTTTTGGCTAATTCGTTTGTTCCCGCCCTCGCCCCGTTTTTTTCTCTTTGTTCTCAGTATGAACACCTTTGCCCTTGTCGTGTCCAGCAGCATTTCATTGCTGCAAATGCTGGAGCCGAGGGCCCTCTGGATGCTGCAGGCCAGGGTGAACTTTAAAGGGGTCGAGAAGTCTTTTTTAAAGTTGTTGTTTACAGGACGCAGCTTTAAAGTTAGTTTCAGAAAATGTTTTTCTTCTGGTTGTGACGTCAACCCTGTTTGAGGTTGCTCTCGGGCATCGTAGACTTCAGGGGCCCTTTTGGTTCCTAGCCAGGCTAGGTTTTTTTAACCTGCCGCATGATGCTGTGCCTTGGCGTTTTTGATGATGCTTTTTTGTATGGTTTTGTTTTGGTTGGGTCTTTTCTTTTTGTTACAAGGGGATATGTATGGATCATCCCTGCATCCAGTTGTAAGCATTTCGATTCCAAGACGTTACTATGCATAATGATTGGTGCTGATAATGTTTCCATAAGATTGGTACTTTTTTTGCGGGGGTTCTTTTGGATTACTGATTTTTGAAAGTATAGCTATTCTGAGGTCAGAGTTGCCACGTGGTATGGTTCAACCTGGCTGGAGGAGCGAGCATCTTGGGTGAATTTTCGCGCCGAGACGCGGCTTGGGGCCTGGGCCTATGCTGCAGCGGAGGATGTTCTTCGCCTCCACCTGCGCGAGGGGCGCAGGTGGCAGGTCCAGCTTCCGTTTAGTGGCGCTGAATTCCGGCACAGTTGCAGCTGCTGCGTGGGCAGCTGCAACTGCCGGACGGAGTTTCTTGTTTGAGCTCAGCTATGAGGGTGGAGGCTTGCTCCGCCCATAGCTGAGCTCAAACAAGATTGCATGTCACCCCCCATAAGAGGGGATTTTTTAGATCAGTGGGGGACCGATTGAACAACCCCCCCATAAGCGGGGCATTTTCCATTACTCGGCGTCCGACGCCTTTGAAAAACAGTGCTGGAGTGCGAAGGGCCTCGGGTGTAGGACGGAGTGGGGACAGGTGTTAACGGTTGACTTGTGTTTCTCACTTGTAAGTTTAGGGAAAAAACATATGGGGAATCAATTAGTTCCCTATTTTTCTTAATCCCTTTAGCCCCGGGTAGTCGTCTAATCTATCCCAGCCGTTAGGACAAATGTTTTTTTCTTCTAAGTCTGTGTTTCACGAAAAGGGGTGAAGACGGGATCGGTTTAATTTTTTTCCACAAAGGGGTGTCGAGATAGGGTGGGTGTTACCAAGTTGTTTGCCAGAAGGGTTACCAACGGCAGATTGTGTGTTGCTTTTGCCGCGGTGTGTTTCTTCAAGCGCTGTTTTAAATGGTGTTTTTGGGATCTCTTCCTTGCTTCTTTTGCCCCGCACTTTTCGCAGTGCCTCAGCAAGAGTGTTTGTTTTTTGGGCTTATTGTTCTGATTTTTTCGTTTCTCGAGAGTTTGTCGATTGCTGTCTGAAGTTTTGCTCCAGTCTTTTTTTTTGATGTGCGTTTCTTTGTTTCGATCTTGTGCCTGATGTCGAGTGTAGTTTACGTTGTGTTTTCTCAGGTCGAGGAAGATGTCTTCTGAGGCGGGACATGATCTCTTGCTTGTTGTGTTTTTTAATTTCTGTTTTGTTTTGTGTTGTTGTTTTTGGTGGGCGGCTGACTCGCCGCCCCCACGAGGGTTGTTATTTTTGCCTACGGATCGAAAACCGTGCTCATAAAACGCACATTTTTGCTAATGGGACGTGGGGGTTATGTTGGGGTGGGGTGGGGTGGGGGTGTTAACGTTCTGTCTAGTGCGTACAGTACATATTTATACGCTCCCGAGATCTCTGGAATGCTTGCCACGTTACATGTTGCTACGGTGCTGAGAGCTCTGGAATGCTTGCAGAGATCTCCTGTGGTATCCTTGCTACGTTACATGTTGCTACGCTGCCGAGATCTCTGGAACGCTTGCCACGTTACATGTTGCTACGCTGCCGAGATCTCTGGAATGCTTGCCACGTTACATATGTTACATGTTGCTACGCTGCCGAGAGCTCTGGAATGCTTGCCACGTTACATGTTGCTACGCTGCAGAGATCTCCTGTGGTATCCTTGCTACGTTACATGTTGCTACGCTGCCGAGATCTCTGGAATGCTTGCCACGTTACATGTTGCTACGCTGCCGAGAGCTCTGGAATGCTTGCCACGTTACATGTTGCTACGCTGCAGAGATCTCCTGTGGTATCCTTGCCACGTTACATGTTGCTACGCTGCAGAGATCTCCTATGGTATCCTTGCCACGTTACATGTGGCTACGCTGCAGAGATCTCCTATGGTATCCTTGCCACGTTACATGTTGCTACGCTCCCGAGCTCTCTGGAATGCTTGCCACGTTACATGTTGCTGCACTGCCGAGATCTCCTATGGTATCCAGCATGAAACGCACATTGTCTTAACCATTCGACATGTTGTCGTTGTCTCGCATTGACATCACAATATTGATCTTTCGATGTACAAACACATGGATATAGATAGATAGATAGATAGATAGATAGATAGATAGATAGATAGATAGATAGATAGATAGATCGATCGATCGATCGATCGATCGATCGATAGATCGATAGATCGATAGATCGATCGATCGATCGATCGATCGATAGATATATATATATATACATACAAATATTTATATATGTGTATATGTATATCTACTGCATACAATCAAAAAAATAAACTTTTTTTTCGGACCTGAAAAAAACCCTTAGTTTACATGGAAAAAAACAGTACATTTGAAAAGAGGAACAAAAAGCCTTGGAAAACGCAGTGAATTTGAAGCCCTGGTTCAGGTGAAACAGACAGTGAATCACTCCGAAACCACAGCGAGAAGCAAATTTCAAAAAAACAAAGAGAAATGACTCGTTGACCCTTCTGGGGGCGGCGAGACAGCCGGCACCCTAGTTTTACATATCAACTACTATCCTTGAGATAGATAGATAGATAGATAGATAGATAGATTGATTGATTGATTGATTGATAGATTAGATAGATAGGTAGATAGATAGATAGATTGATTGATTGATTGATAGGTTAGATAGATAGATAGATAGATTGATAGATTGATAGATTGATAGATTGATAGATTGATAGATTGATAGATTGATAGATTGATAGATTGATAGATTAGATAGAGTAGATAGATTAGATAGATTAGATAGATTAGATAGATTAGATAGATTAGATAGATTAGATAGATTAGATAGATTAGATAGATTAGATAGATTAGATAGATTAGATAGATTAGATAGATTATATAGATAGATTAGATAGATTAGATAGAGTAGATAGAGTAGATAGATTAGATAGATTAGATAGATTAGATAGATTAGATAGATAGATAGATAGATAGATAGATAGATAGATAGATAGATAGATAGATAGATTAGATAGATAGATAGATTAGATAGATAGATTAGATAGATAGATTAGATAGATAGATTAGATAGATAGATTAGATAGATAGGATAGATAGATAGATAGATAGATAGACAGATAGAAAGATAGACAGATTGACAGATTGATAGATTGATAGATTGATAGATTGATAGATTGATAGATTGATAGATTGACAGATTGATAGATTGATAGATTGATAGATTAGATAGATTAGATAGATTAGATAGATTAGATAGATTAGATAGATAGATGTTATTTATTCATTTATATATGTATTTATTCATTTATGTATTTATGTATTTATGTAGTTATTCATTTATCTTTATGTTTATTTAATTAGTTATTTATGTATTTATGTATTTATGTATTTATGTATTTATGTATGTATTTATTTATTGATTTATCAATGATTTATCTATTGATTTTACATATACTATATATATATATGTATGTGTATGTATAAATATATATATAGGGGATTTATCTCTGCTGAAGTTGCTATAGTCTTGATATGTCTTGATTAGTGGAACCTGGCTTAATTCCTCTTTTCGATCTGAGACGGGATTTCTGACTATTTCCCTGAGATGGTGCCCGTAAATCAGCAGTGGCTGCGTTCAGCACCCCTGATGATATTGGGGGGTATACTACAGTGCGCTTTAAAATTGGGATGATTATGATTGTGCTACTCATGTTGTGGAGTGTTATCTCCTGATACGGGCACACTTTTGGAGACTTTTGGGTGGTTGGAAACTGGATTCTTTTTGAGATTTGAGATGGGATTTCTTTGGGGAAAAAAGGATAAGGGGCCATTGGAAGATGAGTTTCAGGTCCGAATGATTTCCGGTGAATGGATGTAGCCAGACTGAAACCAAACTTAAAATTACTATCTGGTTATGACTAACATAGCCATGGAAAATCACCATTTTTAAGAGGTAAACCATCTATAAATGGGGCATTTCCCATGGCTATGTTAAATAACCAGAGGGTACATAAAATTTAACTACTGGTTTCTATTTCTGTTCTTCTTCATGGCCCCAAAGCACCCAAAATTCACAACGTCACATCTAGCGGAAACAAGTCTCGGTTCTTCAGCTTGAAGATCCTGTACCTGTTCAGCTTGGCCAGATGCTGTGACAGGGGGTGAAATACCAATCTGAGTTTTGTAACCCCCAGTCATCACTGGCATATCTCGTGCGATCTCCTGAAAATCCAAGTTATCTTTGCTTTTATCCTTCCACAGCATGCATATCGACGACACGTGACTCCGCAGTTACACAGCTGGCAAGGGATGGCTTCACAAATAGTCAGCTTGCACCTGTCAGGTGTGTCCATCATGTAGACTCGGGAACCAAAGTTTGAACCGTACCTGGGCCGGAAGCCATGTGGAGATTTTCCAATTTCCTGGGCAAATCTATGAACCAACTGCTGCACCCATGTGGCCTGTCAGAACTCTGATATTCAACGGTCAAAAAAAGCCCTGATCAGAAAACCAAAACTGGTCTCTCTTGATCTGTCTTTGGGACCTTTGCTTTCCCATTTCTGGGATATTCGGGATATCTACGGATATCTATGGATATCTCTATGGATATCTCCTATAAAATCCTGGTAGATTTTGGGAGATTTCATGTTCGCCAGCATCCCATAGCCATAGCCGCATCACTTGCTTTCCAGCTACTTCGTGGTTGTCACGAAGTCAATCTTGATGCCATCCTCCGTCTCCTTGATACCGTAGGTGGATCCGTACTGCTCCTGGAAAGGGATGACATGGTGGGACCAAAGGACCAGCGGACCATGAATTTCCAATGGGGCTAGTGATAGTGGTGCGTTTTACGTAGGGTTGCTGGATGGGTTGCTGGGGGTTGCTGGGATGATTATTACTGGTGATTATGGATCATTCCCGAAAATCCCCTACTAAGCACAAGTAAGTAGTGGTAGTGGGATTCGGACCAACCCAGTACTGAACTCGGAATCCGATCTGGGATCCGACGCGCTGGTTCCGTGACCATTTCGCAGGGCCCTAAGAAGCATGCAACACCTTTGAAAACCTACATACAAGAGCACATTTGACACAATCAACCTGAACTATCCTGAACTCAGGTGATGTTTTCATATGTTTTCATGGTGTTCCGAAAAAGCCAACATCTAATATGCAGTGACATCGCAACATGAGGTCCTTATACTTTTACCATGTTTTACCCAGAAATATGGACCCCTCCAGGCCCTGAAAATGCGGCTTTCCGTGCCTGGGAGGCCCCCTCCAGGTGGCAGTTCCGAGCACAGCTCACTGGATCGGGGCACAGCTCTTGGTTGAAATCGCCGTCCTTGTAACCTGCCACCGAAGCGGGGTGACCGCATGTGACCGCCCTGTTGGGACCAGATATGGTGGTGCAAATAAAAAGTTTGAGCTTGGAAACCATAGAATTCGAGTGTTTGAAGAAGGAATTATAAGGAATTCATCAAATGGAATCAGTGAACATCATTTCGGTCGGGGCTAACGCCAATTTTTCATAATTTTTCCCTGTGCAGGTGAGGACTGGCCAATAGAAAACCACAAAAGTCCATCAAGTCCGCATCATGTCCAACCCAATTTACTCCAGGGAATCCTCAATGTACAATCCAAACCAACCAAAATCCTCAGGTTTTTGTTGGGGGTCAAGTCCTCCATAAGTTTCATGGTGCTGAGCGAATCGAATCCCTTTTGGAAAAATCGCTTTCGCCATGTTGAAGTGGTCCAAGTGGCAGTTGGTGTATTGTCCATTGTGAAGCCATCGCCAGTTCGCATCCAGAGCCACGGATTTCATCTGTTTGATGCATCCGCTTGAGCTGCAGGTCCAAAGAGGCATCTGGGGATGGTATTCTTCCTCATGGACGCCTGCCGGTCGCGGAGCTTGGAGCGGAGCTTGGAGTTTCCCTTAGGCAGTTGGTGCTTGAGCCATCTGAATAATATCAAGTGTCAACTATTATAGAATAATTGGGATCATCATATTGGCGTGGTTGGGTTGAAAATCAAATTAGTTGAAACCAGGAACCAGCTTCTGTGAATGTTCCATTCCACTTCTGGGAATTATGGTAAATGGATGGTAAATGGTAAAGCTTACAGGAAACCATGATCTTTTCACCTGCCAAACATGGATGGAAAAACTCTAGATTTCCTCTGAAACCGGTTCTATCAAGTAGAATGTTCTTTTCTTATCCCTTAACTTAACTGAAGTTCTGTTCCAAAAGGGCCCGACGGCTGTTTATGGACCATCCCACAGATCTACGCTGCAGGTCACCTGGCTGTTGCGCCACGACGCATCCCACGAGAACAGCAATGGACAGCATGGCAGTCTGGTTCCGCTGGTCCTACAAGGTCTCTTCACTCAACTTGAGCCCTGAAAATGGCTGAGGGATGACCAATGATTCACGGAGTTTGGGAAATCATGATGTTTGGCAAACCCATGTAGAAAAAAAATGAAAAAACACGTGTCACGTGAAACAAAAATGAAAGTTGCCTTAAACTTCAACCCTTTCTTGTGCTCCGCTTTCGTGTGGACAATGATGGATTTGGGTGTCTTTAATTCTTGGAAACCACACAAGTAAAAAAAGTAGTAGGTACAACCCAGCAACTGCAAGGGCGCGCACCAGTCTCATAAATGGATGGCTTCGCAAAATGCAGAGTTTCCAAATACTGCAGTCACCTGTGTCCATCTGGATGTGTCTGAAAAGATGCTATGAAACCAAATAAACGGAGTATGGATACCTCCAGCGGAATTGGAGGTACCCAATTCCAAACCCATCGAAAAAAGAGCTACGTGGCCACCGCTTCGTCACCCCTTCCCCCCTGGGGTCCCCTGGGGTCCCTCGCCTTCACCACCATAGAGAGGATGCATGTGGCCAGTGTGGAGTCACTCATAGATCCCTGGAATCACATGGCAAGATTTTCTAATCCCAAAATATCCCATTGAATGCCCCAATGTCTGGCAATGTTAATCAGGAAAAATGATCATCAAGCCATAAAATTTATGGAGGTAAGCCTATTTTTAACCCAAGGGCAAAGTGTTGTAGACAGCCTGAAACCGCGAGGACAAAGAGGATGGGATGGTGATAACATCATCAGCTTCGATTTTCTCACATACTCCTGATCCCAGCTCTTCATTTGAGAATGAAGTGCGTGTCTAATGTGTAAGATCACATTAATTATATCATCATCACATTCTTTGATCTCATTTGGAGCTCGCATCACCATGATCTCCCCAAGGTTTCAAACGATTTTCCATGTGAAAAACGGGTAGCCAAACTCGCCTCATGTTCTAGAGCCGAGGAGGCCGCCGCACAGCGCAGCTCCAGAAACTTTCGACACTCCTGGCGGAGGGGGAAGCCGATGCGTGAGATACTTAAGGACTTAAGGTGAGACCTCCGACATGTCCAAGAGAGCTAAGTTGACATGACGTAGTTAACTCGAGTTTGCACCCCTTTTACGATAGCTAACTTGACGCACACATCTTGCGTAACATTTGAGGATATGGGGTATGCAATGAACTTTAGTTAATGGGTATATAAACCAACAAACATAGCTGGGCCGGCCGCCTCACCTTGTACCCAGAATCTTATTGTAAATGGGATAATCATAAAACCAACCAGAATGGGGTATTCATGGAATTTATCTCACCAACGATATGATATGACCTTGGCTTGTGTGAAAATATGTAATATCTTTACCTGGTTGGTGGTTGAGCCACCCATCTGAAGAGTATTAGCTCATCAATTGGGATCATCACCAAAATTAGATGAAAATAAGTCCTTGAATGGATAGAATATCTCCAAACAAATTGTCAAGATATCCGATGGTGTGGTAGATTGACCGATAAATTATGTTTTGGGATCTGTTTGCGTCCATTTGGTCTTTTCTGAGGATATTGGGGCAAACCCCGATTCGTAAACCCCAGGGTTGCTTAGTTTGGGGGTGCAAGTACCCGTCCAGGATTTTATCCATGTCATCTAACAGATCGCTATGTAAAATGACTCACTTGTAGATGGTTTACCTATTACCTATGAAAAATGGTGGTTTTGCATAGCTATCTTAGATTACCAGAGGGTAACTACCAGGGGTCTAGATATGGTTCCTATCAACTGTTTGGGCACCTCAACAACTGTGTGGTCTCTTGACATTCTCAAGCGGAGTCGAAAAATCTATGGCCAGAGGTCAAAATGATTCAACCAACCCACAAGGTAGGAAGTTCAAACCCTCTGCCCCTAGCGCATGCTGAACTGCAAAAGGCCCTTTGATTGTGTTTGCCCCCTATCAACCAAAAAAAACAAAAACATCAAACAGTAAACACAAGCTGTCCAATGACTGATACAAATGTCGAATTGTTTCCTGCTTTGACCGAATCCCCCAACCACCCAACTAACTACCCGGCGCGGAAGTTCATCCTGCGTAACAATCTCCACTTCAGCTTGTCCAGGTGCAGGTGCCTGTAGCTGGCAATGATTCGTTCACTGGACATCCAGTCCACCTGGTTGGAAACTCTGGAAGATGTGACACTCAAGTGGTATTTTTCCATAATTTTCCTTGACAGAGATGGAAAATCTATGAACCTAAAGGGTCTCAAATCACCAAGCTGTCAGAACATGTCAAAACTATCTTCAAGACTTCCCCACCAATCCTCCAAAGCAAATGCAGCCCAGAGGCCACAGCTGAAAGGGGCAAAGCGCAGAGGATCTGGGCCAAGAAATGGGAATACAACAGCTGCAAGCGCGCCACGCGGGGCCAAGAGTCGGTCCAGTCCTGCAAAGATACCCTAGCTCTGAAGCTCATGGGGGTTTTGTCAAAAAATGGGGTTCCCTTAAAATCCAATTTGTCATCATCATGTTCTCTCAACTTGCCATAGACTGGCTATGAAACCCCCCATTCTCAGACACACCTGAGTAATATTGTTGGATAGCTACGTTCTTAAATGTTATAAATGATAACTTGTTAACCCATTGTATACCCATGTGATACCCCATTCATGTCCCATTTATCAGATCAGATGATTACGTGTGGGTAGTTCAGATGAGCCGTGTTTTTTTTGTTCTGGGTATAACAATTCTTAATGGGATACTTATAATTGTATTTAGAATCCATGATACTGGGATATATATTATATTATATATTATTATGATTGTGGGATACAATGTATACCCATGTGATATCGTGGTTGTTGATTATTCTGTGTATAACAATTTTTGATGGGATACTTATTATAGCTCATTCATCTCCCATTGTTTTATATCCTATTGATATCCCGCGTCCTTCACTGGAGAAGCTCCAAAGGGTCCCAGGCGCCGCGAGGCTCCCGCTCCAGGCTCAGCTGGGAGCGGAGGGAAGTGGCCTGGCCACTTTCCAGATCTTTCCAGATGTCTTTTGCTGCTGGATGGGGTGGTTTCTGCAGTTTCCACCTCCTGAAAAATCAGTTGATTTATGTATATCTATGTCTATTTATGTTAGTTTATGGGTGAAACCTCGTCAGTTTGGATCATCATCCCGGATCTTGAGGGGAAACAAAGAACATTTGCAGCCAGCAAGCAGAATAAGGAGATGATACTAGTAACTACTAGTAACTGTGAAAACTGATTTGGGTGATTTCCTGATCCCGTGCTAACCCAGTGCGCATGTATTTCATTCCCCTGTTTCTTGGTAATATTTCTCCTGCCTCAAGCAGGTGAGAGCCAAGGGCGCTTCCCAAAAACAGAGGTCGCTATGAAGCGACTAAAGACTGCTCAAGACAAGCGCACTGTGAAACGTCACACCATTGAAATATCATTTGGACACATTGCAAGCAGTAGACATGCGGAATATGACTGGGCAAATTACAATAATTCACTAACCTGAAATAAGGCCATGTTGGGATGATTCCTCTTATTAACCATGATTCCAGTGAGGTCGCAGTGAGGTCGTTATAATTTCCCCAGGGAATATGACTGACTGTTAGGCTATTGTACATCCAAAGCATTTTCGGCAATTTGATGACGGCGCTGCTCAAGCCCCTTCCCTCCCCACCCTCCGCGAAGGTGTTGGTCAATTCGCCCAGCACCAGCCGCAGCCACTTGCCACGGGCCACACGACCTGGACCCAAACGGCCCGGTAGAACTGAGGATTTCATAGTTACCCTCTGGTTATTTAACATAGCCATGGTATAGATGGCCCATTCATAGATGGTTTACCTATTAAAAATGGTGATTTTAACCATGGCTATGTTAGTCATAACCAGAGGGTATATCTCAAATTCACTAGCAATAACGGGTGTAATGGGAATGTAATGGTGAGATAGCCAGCTACAAATGGGCTTTGAATCAGGATTTGCAGTGGAAGCCATGGGTATATATAATCTCATTGATCCAATATGAAATACCCACCACTAAATCGGGACCCTTTTTGTTCATGAATAGATCCAAAATATTCCACCAGAGGGTTTTATTTTCGTTCAGTGGGTATTTCATATTCCCACCTTCCCAGCCACTTCTGTGACAACTCATCACCATTCACTAATCACATATCACATGGGATGAAGAAAACACCTCTTCTATTCATACCATGCCATATCTATTCCACTTCTTGCCCCTTTTTGTTCTATGACAGTGGTCATGTCAAATCTATTCCACTCATGAAAAAAAAAACTTACAGATTTTCTATATTCCATTCATAAAAAAAAAAAACTTACAGATTTTCTATATTCCATTCATTAAAAAAATCCCTTACAGATTCGACATCTTCCCCATCCAGTAACTAAGATCCATGGTTTCAGTCCCCCCCCCCCGCCGCAAAGGGTGAAGCTCTTGCCCGCGCTGGCGGCGGCACTCGAAATGCCCAAACTCCGGGCGGACGGCGCCTCGTGAAACGAGGGATCCCAGGGGTTGCCTCGAGGGGGCCCTGTTGGTCAATGTGGTACCCTCTGGTAAACTAACATAGCTATGGAAAATCACCATTTTTAATGGGAAAACTCACTATAAATGGTCATTTTCAATAGCTATGTTAAATTACCAGAGGGTAAAGCTAATAACTTACCGGCGCTCAAGGCAGGGAATTTTCGGGAATTATCCCAGTCATCACATTCGTAATGTCATCATCCCAGCAAGCCCCAGCAACCCATCCAGCAACCCTACGTAAAACGCACCAGTAAGATAAATCATCCCCAAAATCACTGGTTGGTGGTGCAATAACCATGTGGAAAAATGATGGAGTTTGTCAATGGGAAGGATGACATCCCATATATGAAATGGAACATAAAAGCCTTGTTTGAAACCACCAACCAGATCACTATAGATGGATGGTAACTATCATCCACCTACATTTAAGCATATAGATTCTCACATCTCGAACGTGCCTTTTCATGCTACCCCTGTGAAGGTTTGCCTTGGCCCGCCCAACATCTAAATACATGGGTGCTTCTGTATTTTACCAGTGGAAGAAAAAAAAACGGCCATTTCATACTACCGCGGATCAGGAGACCAGAGATTGGGCCTTGATCCCTATTCCAGCTGTGGGGATTACCGGGATTACCTTTACCATCCGAAGGCGTAGGAATGCTCTGACCCGGAAGGATTTGCAGGCCATGGTACCCAATACATATATATATATTATATATATATATATATAGAATATATATATATATAGAATATATATATATAGAATATATATATAGGGGCCTGTTATCTGAAAAATTAGGTGTATGTCTATCTCCATCGAAAACTTAGCCCTGTGAGGACTTCATCATCCTTTGGGGAATTAGATCCACATCGGAAATCCCCAAGTTGATTTAGTTGCTTCAATCCAAAAATGTTTGCCATTCTTTGCCACTCATTCTCAAGGTCCATATCTAATCATTTATCAATCTTACAGTAGCAATGCTATTTCTACGTCGGGGTAGCTCCACGCCCAAGAATTTGGAGAAAATTTCCGGCACATTACCCAACCAAGAAGAAATGTGGTCTGTTCCCATATCCAACCAAACATCACAATAATGATCACTCTGGCTGAACGCGGCTGAACTATGATAAACTTACTAACCTGAAATGTTTGGCCATGTTGGCCCCTACTTACTAACCACCTTTCCAGCGACATGTATATATATAATATTATATAATTCACCCAGAGTCAATGGATGCAATGGATTAAGATAGTAATATGTCCAACCTATGATTAATGTGACCCATTCCCATATCCAACCAACTATGAACGACCAATGATTGACAATAATGTTCATAGTTATTGATGTAGTCATATCCAGCGAACAATTCATGTTGCGCCAGTCAGTTCCGACCCATCTGCCAAACCACCAGCTGGTGCGGTGCTTGCCACAACAAAGCTGCAAAGGCCTCCCGCAGCCCTTGACCTTGGGATTGCGCCAAGGCCTGTGGTGCGTGCCGTTTTTCTTGGGATCGGCGCTCCAGAAAATTGGGAGGATCAACTTAAATAGATCCTACCAATTTTTTGGACTCTATTGGGTTACTTGGTTTCCAATGTTCAGTTCCGAAACTTTGCTTTCTTTCTGGGGAAATCATTGAATGTTCAAAAATGCAAAAAACCTGCCTACAAGCTGGAAGATCCAAACCAGCAGCTGCAGTCAAAGAAACATATAGGAAGGAACCTCTCCCACTCTCCCACATCTTGTTTGATATGTTTCCTTTTGGGGCAGGCATCAGAAGCCTCCTCTACCTACGAGCACTTGCAGCTTCTCACACGAGTACATCCAAGTCAAATCACCTGAAATCACCACACCTTGGTACACTTAGGTCGGATGTATAATACAAACACATTCTATATCCCTCCACTTCGGTGTTCCCTAAAATTAGGCCACCCCAAGCTATCATCCAACCTAGTGGTCATTTTCTGTGGGGATTTCCGAATGGTCTTGGGATACTACAATTTGAGCAGTGTTGAAAACCATGCTGAAAATCCGTTGTACTGGATAGTTACACTGTGGATGCCAATCATCCATAGTGATAAAATCAATATTTTGTTGTAGAAACATAATTAACCACCCTAAAGTTAGGTTTTGATCCTAAAATTAGGGGTACCCCCAGTTAAGGTCCAACCCATGTATTTTTTTTCATGCAGTTTTCCCAATGGTTTTGGGATACCCTCCATGGTGCACCTGCGGATCCTTCCGCGCCAGGGCCGTCAAGAGCAGCTGCGCGTTGTGCCGCAAAGATCGGTCGAAGAGGGACGTCATGGCGACGGCGCCCAATGCCGCCGGGTTGCCTCGGCTGCAAAACGCCAAAAGGTGTCCGTTGACCCTTGGGGAGACCATGGGACATTGGGGGACAATGGTTTTTTCGAACCATGGGTATGGTGACAATGGCTTACCATACATATGTATATATATATATTGCCATATAGTTTGGTTTATCAGATTGTCAACTATGGGTGACAATGCGAATCGTGACCAGTATTCTTCCTGGGATACCTAGGGAAAACTGTGGAAAGCTAGATGAATGACTTGGGAAGTGAAAAGACACTGGTCGTGCAAAAAGCAGGTTGGGGAAACTTGGTATTTGAAACAGTTTTGCCGACCAGTTGGTACATAGACTGATCGTGTCACTTTAGGTTTTGTTATTTTCAAGGTGGATTATCGGGGGTATCATGTCATAATGAAAAAACACGGGCCAACGTTGGACACGGTATCTTTCTGTAATGGCTGACACTTTGCTTTTTGGCTCTGATCTTTGGACCCAAGCCCAACGGCATGGAGTTTCTTTGTCACTGGAAATGGAGTGTCTTGAATTTGAACTAATGGCGCAACAGAACCAAACAAGTCTGATTGTCCCTGCCAGAATTGCTCAACCCGAGACAACCTCCACTTTCATCTCCAAGTGTTTCCGCAGTCCCTTGCAGTTTCAAGTAGCCTCCTCATCCACACCATCCACATCATCCATCATCATCCAAATCCACTGCCAAATCACCCACATCCACATCAACATCACCACCGTCATCGTCATCACCAACTTCATCGTCATCATCATAATAATAATAATAATCATCATCATCATCATCATCACCATCATCATCCTCATCATCATCATCACCATCATCATCATCATCATCATCGTCATCATCATCATCATCCTCCTCCTCGTCGTCGTCGTTGCCATTTCCATCTAGCACTAACATAAAAACACAAAATTGTATAATGGTAATGATACAGTCTTTGAATTGCTATGTTGCTATGTGACTTTTGGTTACAATCAACAACGATGATTACATGTATGACAAGTACGAGAACGGTAGCTCTAACTAGATTTGTCATGATGATCAGGGTGCGCCGGCCTTCCCGACAAAACGCAGAACGGAGCGGGAACGGAACGGAACAGAACGCGCGAAACGGAGGTTGGATTCTCGTTCTTCACTTGGCTCAGGTCCATGGTTCCTTCGGCTGAATCTTGAGTTTTTGGTGGTTATATTCTCGCTCCTCATACGCACAAGTTCCAACAACCAAAATAGATACTTTGGTTTGTAGTTGAGCTTTGGGGGGTTGGATTCTCAGGGTGCGGGTCGGATCGGGGTCGTTGGATCGGAATCTAGATGGGTCGGATGGGCGCCCCTGGATCAGAATCTTTATGCGTTGGATCGGGACGGTTTAATATAGATGGCCACCTTGCACGCGGACTATCACCGACCATCCCGGCCATTCCGACCGTCCCTAAGAAACCCTAGAGAAATCTTAAAGAGGCCCTAAAGAAACCCTAAAGAAACCCTCATCCCGACCATTCCCGACCATCCCGATTTATCCACGATGTTGATCCAGGACCGTCTTTGACGCTGATTCTGCGACGCTGATCCGAACCTTTGGATGTTGATTCAGGACGCTGCTCAGGGACGCTGATCCGACTCGATGGTTTCTGATACGGAATTTTCTTTGGATTCTCGCTCTTCACTAGGATCAAGCTCCAATCTCCCAAATGCTAGATTGGGGAGCTACTTTGTTGGCAAGGAAAGAAAATCATCAAACCATCAGGAGTTGGAAGTCATGCAGCGCCAGCTGCAGGGGGATGATGCTTTCCAGTTTCCATCGTGAGCTGATCAAGTTTCATTTTGACAGCAAGACCTTGACGTCCACCCAAGGAACAGAGACTGCCTTGAAGGTATCACACCGCTAGGAACGAATAATTAAAGGGCAGCTGCTCATCCAAAACAATCCGAAGAAATCAGGTACCTCATACTATCTCAAAACAGGTAACGCACAGCATCCATGGGTATCATACTGGCCTGCTTGTTGGGCCGAACCTACTCAAGTCTTACCTACAACAGCACACTCTCTCAAACTAGCACCAAGCCCAGCCTGCAGCTGCCTGTGCTGGGCTGGTCTGGACCTGGATGGCATGCTTCAAGCGGCTGCCTTCATTCCTCCTGCTCACCACAGCTCTGTCGAGGTTCCGGGAGGTCTGCTGATTATTTCCTTCTTCGTCTGAGTCAGGCAATTGTTCATCGGCAAAGTCTGCCAGGGAAAATGAAATCCTCGGACAGGATAACGGCCGCCCCATCCGATGTCTTGCCTAAATGCTGCAGTCGTGACAGTCGTGACAACCTCATCCGGAGCCATGTTGGTTGGACCAAGGACACGTGGCCTCCGAGGTGTTCCCGAATCAGAGAAACCAGACCTTGGCAGAAAAAAGTTATGTGGATTTGTTGAACCGCAATGCTTGGCCGAAATTCATGTCTACTAATTTGAAATCATACTCCAGATGGGAAACACTACCAACCAGTGCATTTGTTGGGAGAAGGACCATGGCCTATGCGTGGGAAAGCGCATCTGACTTTGGTTCTTCAAACACTACCCAGTAGACCGTCCTAGGCAAAAAGGTACAATAGATAGATGTTTATCTATTAGACAAAATTTTGTATATAAGATATGTTTAAAGATATCTATGTTTGGCAAACTATTTTGTAAATGGATTAGTTTAGATGGGATACGAACAACAAAATAGACAAAAATCAGATATTATCTATTTCCTAGGAAATTGTCAAAATAGAAAACTAAAATAATCAAAAAAATGCCGAAATAGATATCTGATATCTATTTTTGACCCTTAAACTTCGAAGGAACTTCTGGGCCGTCTTTGGGTTGTCATTTGAAACTCAGGAAGTTTGACATCACAATTTTTTGAGAAACGCAGGAAATAATAACACAGGAAACATAAACTACTGATAAACTACTGACAAGCTTCGAAGTCAAGCTTCGAACAAACTACTAGGAAACAACTGGCAAACTTCGAAGTTATCTGCATGGTCCATTTCGGGCATCGAACTTTTATATTTCTGTTCATGTTTGGGGTGCAAAAAAATGTCTAATAGATTTTGTTGTCTATTAGATAACTTTCAAATTGCCGAAATAGACAGACGCAGTGGAGACGTCGCATGCATGAGGAGCTTCTGCAGCAAGAAAGGCTTCTGAGAATCAGTCATCGGCTCCACTGCACATTGCGCTGGCGAATCTTTCGGCACCTGGAAAGTCCACATTTTCTTTGCCGAAAATGATGACATCTGACGAGAGACCCAGTCATGAACAGCACTGAACGAAATCCGGCGGCGGGTGCGGATATGAACCTGGGAATTGTGAAGCGTCACCTCATCCGCAAAGCGAATTTGGCCTTGGCCTTGGCCTTGCACCTTCTGAAGCAAATGGTTGAATATTGGATCCAGGAGCGTCTCATCCTTGACGGCGATTGCCCAATCATTGCCCACTCTGTTCCGAATCACCGGCATACCAGGTCATCGCAACAAGCACTGGCTACATGTTTCCCCCTGTGTGTGTGTGTGCGTGTGCGTATCTTGTGTTTCTGCACATGTGTTTGCGCGCATCCATGCATGGGCTAGATGTGAACATGTCGGTGAGGATGTCGTGCATGTGTGGGTGTGTGGGTGTTTGCGTGTGTGCGTGTGTTGTATGTGTGTGTGTGCGTTTGTGTCAGTATAGGTGCATGTGTCTGAATGTGTGCATACCTCTGCCTAGGTGTGTGTGTGTGTGCGCGCGCATGTGTGCTTGATCGTATACACTGATGAAATGTCAGATGCTGTAGAACTCTTGCTCTGAAAACTCCAGCAGAAAAATCTTCCTGAATTTCTTCTCATGCCTGGAACACTTTTGAGCCATCAATTGGAACCGTTTCTTGGACATGCAAGCTGGTGAAATATATGCAACATGCCACAGGGTCACAAAGAACGCCAAAAGTATTGAACCTTCAAGCTTTGCAGCTCTGAAATTCATGGGTGTTTTGAAGAGACTAGCTGACGGCTTTTTCCTGTCACAGCACAGCTTTAGACCAAAAATCTCGAAAGTTGGGTAAAGTATAGAAAAGGGGCTGCGAATGCTATGATAGTGAAATCGGGCACGAGCGATTCATGGTGAAATGCCACAACTCCGCCCGGACCCTGCATTTTTTCACTAACAACTGGAAAACATGGACTATGTCTGCAACATCTGCAGGCAAAAACTATACACGTAATTACACGTATCTATCCTTATCCTTTGGCGTTGCCAGGAACTATTGTTGTTTTGCAGCGGCAGATGTTGCCTGCTACCAACAGGTATACCTTTAGGCAACAGTGTCTGTTTTGGACAAGTTCCTTTGGTGTCCAAATTGTTTCTTTCTGACCCCCGCTGATTTTTGCACATATTTGATCCTGGTGTGAGCTGTTTTTTGCTTTGGTTGGTTTCTTTGGGTTTTCACATCTTTTTCTTTCTGACACTTGTCTTTCGCACATTTTCTCTTGGCCTAAGCGGAGTTTGTCACCCAAGTTCTTGATAAAATGGAGCTGAGCAAATGGATGGGTGATTCGGGTGATTCAATGGAGTCTCTTCATAACCCTGTCAAAGTGAATATTGAACTGAAACTGTTGGTTGACAAATATCCTAATTTTTTTTACATAATTACCTTATACATTTCCTTGATTTGTGAAAGTTAACATTGCGTCCGACCTGGAAATGCGGGAATGTTTCACGATCAACCCTAGGCCCTAGGTACGGAGGGTGGCCCGCAACCATCCCCCTGAATAGTTTCAAACATATTTGGAAGACCTGGCAATCAAATAACTACCATTCATTTTGGAACTGAAAGGTTGCCGAAATAATTCTTTGAAAATGGTTTCTTCGACAAAAAGTCGACCAGAAGAAATTTGAAGGGTCATCACTCCCCAAAATAATTAGGAAGTACACCTGAATGTTCGGCTTCAAATATTACTTCAAAGGGTCTTGGGTCCAGAAAACAAAAACACGAACGAAACAAACAATATAGTTCCAAATAAGTTCCCAGGGTAGCAGCAGCCACTTCAGCACCGCTAAATTGCTGTTCATCTGCCATGCTAGTCATCAGGTGATGATGATAATTTTAATGGTCTGATTGATTTTTCATGATAATGAAGACTGTGATTTGGTTTATGGGGAGCCAACAGGTTCAATCCCCAACATCACTGCTATTGCTCTAGCTGCAGCTTTGGAAAGTTCTTTTTTGGTCTCCACCTGAAATACAAATAAATAAATTGCACCTTCAAGTTGCCATATTATCAAACAGACTTGAACGCAGCAGAACGGAACTGAACTGGCACAACAAAACGGAACGGAATGGAACCGGCATACCCTGATGATTTATACCATATTATTATAATTGTTGTTATTATTGTTGTTATTACTATTGTGATTATTGCTATTGTTATTATTATTGTTATTATTATTGTTATATTATTATTGTTGTTATTATATCATTCTCATATATACATAATCATCATAATGATCATCCTACTATATTGTATTTCATTTTTGTAATAAGAAAAATAAAAGTAAAGTAAACCCATCCTAAACACCATCTCCCCACCCAGCCATTGCCGCCAGGGTCACCTCCCAGCCCCGCGCGGTGCAAGGCGCGCGCCGCCGTCACCGCCATGCGCCGCAGCGCCACGTCCCCGGGCTCTGCGCGGCGGTGCAGCCCGTGCCGCGCGAAGCGCAGCACGGCCGGCAGGTGACGGGTCAACTTGGAGAGCACCGCGGTGCAGCCGTCCTTCCCTGGTGGTTTTGATGTTTTGGTGCTGCTGTCTGCTGAATGAAGCGGATCGGTGTTTTTGGTCAAAAATGGTATTCACATGAATTCACTGGGGTTTCACCATCAAAATGTGGATTTGGAGGTGAGTTCTGTTTTTTTGTCCAGGAGTTGCATGTTCCCCAGAGATCTTGGGATGAAGAAATATATGCGACTGCAACTGTTTGTAGAAATATAAATATGCTGAGGTCATTGTATCAGATAAAAAGCTGGACCGAATCTCATGTCAATGATTTAACTGGAGCTTCCACACATTCTATGGTAGATTTACAGAGTACTGGCAGGCTCACGCTTTAGCTCGAGCTATTGGCATCTTTGATTCATCCGGGATCATCTGGGTAAATTATGGTAAATTAAAGTAATTCACTAACCTGAATTCCCACCAACGAAATTATTATAATGTTACAACCGAAATAATTCACTAACCAATTTACCCACTAACATAAAATCATTATACAACCTGAAATATAAGGCTGCTATAGTGTAGGATAATTCCCACTAACGAACGTTCCAGTGAGGGAGAACAGTGAGGTCCTCGGAATTTACCCCGATTAATGGATGTTTCCCCATATATTATTGACCATTAATGGTTTATATCATTGGAATATAATTCTTATATACTCTTATACATATATCATTTGATGTTAGAATTATAATGGGAATATTATGGGAATTATAGTTCTACCGGGTCCTTCTTCGGATTCACGGCTCAGGTGGTCGCACAAGGAGGCCAGGACTTCCAGGGAACGCTCCGCGAGAAGGTCTTGGCCTCGAAGTGCGATGGAAAGGTGCGAACGGATGAGTGTATTTAAAGATAGGAATGATGGATGGTCAATATATGTCAATCTCACATGCGTATGGCATTATGACGTATAAGTGTGGTATTAATATAAATATGTATAAATATATAGTTATAGAAGGGATGATGATAATGATATGAAGCTAGGATTGATCGGGTTCATGAATCGAATCATCCAAGGAGAGTTCAACCATACCATGGGCCGACAACAGATATGAATAGGTGGGAATTGAACGTAGGTTGAACCGGCCACAATTGGTGGCAACCAGGAGTTATCCACTTCGGAACTGGATAGGGTGCCGCAGGGTCAACAAAATAGACGTTGAATGAAATTGACACAACCAGCAAAAAGGAGACTATGCCTGGTTGCCAACTACTGATTGGCGCCGTGGGTCTTTTGGGACCATGGAAATCCCAGAGCTTCTGGGTCTCCAAATGATTAGTTCAGCGAAGGCATGAATCAAAACCTCTGGAATATCATCGAACGCCCTGGTGAATACGAAAATAGCTAGTGTTTATGGATGTTCATCCCCCTAAGTATCGTGTTCAAAATGTTGCTTGTTCAAATCAATGTGTTTCAGGTCTGCTTCGCTATGATGGTTGAGCTTGGAATGAATGAGGAGCCATCAGCAATTGCTGGTACTTGGCCTTGGGTATTGCGGCTGTAACTTGCATGCCGGAAAGCAAAACCTGCAGACTCGTTGTTATAGAGTTGTTGATTCTCTTCCAATACCCGTGAGAAATCCAAACATGTGCTGCAGATTCGACTAAAACAAAACGTAGAACATCTAAACTGGTGGCTACTAGGTACCTGGGTTTCCATCATGCCAGAAAGGTTTTGCCAAAGACCCCAGATGCTGAAAATATAGGGTTCCTTATCACCCCCTTCATTTGCCAAAACCTGTTGCATATCAAATCCTACAGAATCTTATCAGATATGTCTTATCAATTGACTGTTACCAAATTTCAAATTCTACATCTCAACTTCACATTATCATCATGATCACCCGCTTGGGGGTTTTCCCCAGTCGTTTATGAACGGGACAACGATTCAGGGCTCTCCACACCCGTTCGCCACAGCCCGGCCGAACCTGTGGCACCGAGGCCGCTGGAGATCACTTTGTCAAAGTCCTCGGATCCCACCTGTCGCTGGGAAAAATCATTTGTGTACGTAATGCTATACCGTACATGCGTATACTATACACAATAATATTCTATAATTAAACGACATTACATTGAATCTCTCCGTGGAAGTGTGGCAGATGGACTGCCACCACTACTAAAAGTGCCGAAGCTAAGCTGCTGAGACACATTCAAATACCAGTAGTATCGCACAAGGAGGTGGCGGAAGTTTCAAATATAGGAGAGGTTGGTTGTTGTGAATCACGGATGGCAGGGCGAATCCACTGATGGACCGAAAGGTGGTTGGATGTAGTGTGGTGTAGTGCCTTTGTAGTTGCAGTTGTAGTGTAGAGTAGTGGAGCTGTAGCTGTAATGAAATGTAATTAGTGTAGTGTAGTTGCAGCTGCTGTTGCAGTTGTAGTTGTGGTGTGGTGTAATTAGTGTAGTGTAATGTACTGTAGAGTCATGTACTGTAGTGTGGTATAGTGTAGTGTAGTCTAGTGTAGTGTACCGTAAAGTAGTGTAAAGTAGTGTAGTTGTAGTTGTAGTGTAGCGTAGCGCAGTGTAATGTAATGGTAGTTGCAGTTGTAGTGGTAGCGCAATGTATGTTAATTAGTATAGTATAGTGTAGTGTTGTGTAACGTAGTGTAGTTGTAATTGTAGTTGTAGTAGTGGCAGCAGCAGCAGGAGGAGGAGCAGCAGCAGTAGTAGTAGCAGCAGCAGCACATCATCATCATCATCACCATACCTGA